TCTTCATACACACACACACACACACACACACACACACACACACACACACACACACACACACACACACACAGAGACTAAGTTGCGGCTTTAAGTAACAAACAAAAGCGCGATAAGCAGTAAAAAAAAATCAAATTCAGTTTTAAAAACCGAGTTTTCGCTCGAATGTAAGACAGAACTTGCATCAGGTGTGAATGAACGTTTGCCAGTACTGTGCAATCGAATCTATATATATTCGTCTGTGAATATACATATCTATCTATCTATCTATCTATCTATCTATATATATATATATATATATATATATATATATATATATATATATATATATAAGGAAATATTTTTATTTACTTTTCCTTACTAATCTAGCTGTATTTTCTCTCAAAGGAATTACCTTGAATACATATGTTTTACTTCTCTCTTGGGTTTCTTGTCACGGTGTTTGTGTGGGTTGACAAAGTTTCAAACATGACCAGGAAAAGAAAAAATCTCTTAAAAATTAGATAAACTTGCTAAAAAACAATGTGTAAACATGGACCTCAATGCCCACAATAAGATGGAGTGTCAAAAGGATATTTTTCCCATGACACAGCTTTTATTTTAGCTGTCTTCACTCTTCACTTCGGCAATGTTTATTGTTTTAAAAAGACCGGTGATTAGAACTGGAATAAAATCTAAACAATATAAAAGTGAATTTATACATTTTCTTTGTTCTTAAGAATTCACAACAAAAATAATTAACACTATTTATTTATTAGGTTATTTATTTACAAGAATAATTTACATTTACAATATTTTAAAAACTATTACAATTAGAACTAATGCAATGGAATATTTATCATTTACCAATTTATGAAGAAATAAATACGAAAACAATTTTCTAAATAAATTTATAAACATTTACTAAATTATTAAAATATGTGAACGAACTACTTAGAAAATATTATTATTTACCAGTTTATAAAGATTGAATCAATTGGCAATTAGCCGGTGTTTTGCCAACCATTCCAATAAACAATATAATGAATAAATAATGTTTATTATTTTTGTTGTTAATTCTCAAGAAAAAAGAAAATGTATAAAATCACTTCCATCTGTTTAGGTTTTATTACGATTGTAATCATCGCCTTTTCAGACAATAAGCATTGCCAAAGAATAAAGGTAGTTAAAAAAGCGGTGTCATGGAAAAAAAACGTCCTCTTGACACTACGTTTTACTGTGAGTACCAAGGTCCATGTTTGCCAAGGACACATGGCCCAGTGGATAAAGGCGTTGATTAGATCCAGTGACTAGACCTAAATAGTTGTGAGTTCAGTGGTGAACCAAAAAACTTGGAGAGTTGAGTTAAAGGGAAATAACTGAGAGATCCGGAAGAGGCCTGGCACGTGGAATTAGAACAATCTACCCCGGTGGACGACATAAAGCGTTCGGTTCGAAATTACAATCACCTGAAGAAGGCCGGAGCGTACGACGACCGAAAATGTTATGAATATGGCAATGAAGATGAGGATAACAGTCCGAATAATGTAAATAATATAAATAAAAATAATACCTCATCTCAGAGACATCGACAGATAATAAATAAAATATTAAATTAAAATTCCTCAGGAACAAAAAAAAACAGTTTTTAATATGGTTTAAGGTGTTCTCCAGTGGAAATATTGATAACGAATTTATACGAGCGATTTACACCCAGATAAATGACAAGTAATCAGGATTGTACACAACTACCTCTTGTGAATTTGACATTTCTTTCTATCTGTTGATTTATATGAAAATGAGATATCTGCCGCATACAATTTCCCGCTGACAACTTGACACTACACGTTCTTCTTACTGTGTATGGATTTTTGTGGCATATTTCTCGGAGTTAGCTCCTCCTTAATTCCCTAATTGTTCACTAGGGGTCGCTCTCCCTATACTATAAATACTGGGCGACTTCTTGCCTGTTTCTCTTCTTCATTTCTTCATTTCAGTGAACACATCTACAATGTAAGCTCTCGCAAAAGATAGCGTCTTCCCATTTGTGGGAGACGCCGTGAACATTATACACACATACACGTACGTACGAACATTCACCAAAATACAAACTCTTTACGTTCACACACAAACGCAAATGTTAATGTCTTTGTCACTTGTAAATCTTGTTGTTTAATACATATATTTGTTGACGTATATATATATATATATATATATATATATATATATATATATATATCGGTCTTGTTTTTTCTTCTTTACATCTTCGGTTGGACTCAATTTTCGCCATTTTCTTGTAGTTGGACCTTCTTCTAGCGGGAATAAACAGTACGTGTTTCTAATTCAACAACACTCAAATCCAAACGGGTCCTCTACATCTCCCCATAACATAGCTTTTGGGAGAAATTGACACTAGACAGACTTCTGAAAAAATGTTAACCAAATTTCACGCAGGAATTTGTTATCATAATTAATGGATCTGATTTTTTACGGTTTATCAACCATTTGTGGGTTATTTAAATTCGAAACATATTTTGAATATTAAGTATAATTCTTTTCTTTTGTGCGAATGGATATTGCATTAACATTTTTTATGACAATATTTTTCCCGATAAATGTCCTACTATTTAACCGATAGCTGGGGGAGAAGAGGTTTGATTCATACCTTTTCGCGTAAGTGAATACAACGAAATCGACTAAAATTCGATCTCGGCTCTCTCATTTCTCATCCCGAGCCACTGACACCACCCCGCGCACTCCATCATCATCATAAAACGTAATTAAGAAGAATTCATATCTATGTTGATTGGCACAAAATCTTGCGTGATGTCGTAAAGTTTGAACATTGAACAACGGTCTAGTTTCGTCTCATTCTTTTTTCTATTTTTTGTCTGTTACCACAAAATAAAGGCCAATCCATTCAACGACTTTCCGTAAGTGATTAAAGATACCTTCTTTTTTTTTTTTTTACCTGCATATAACACATAACAAAAAGTGACAATATGGCGGAGGACTCAGAAAACCGACATTGACACACACATAACTGTGAGATTTCTTTCATTCCGTATGTTTTGTCTCATAGTTTCTGTTGCATATATTGTTTTCACAATGTATAGGTCGAATCTTTCCTCCGACTTTCTTAATATATTCTTTTAAGTTTTAATATCTGTCATTATCATTTCTAGTAGTTACTTAGGCTTGGGTTCTTCTTTTATGAATTTGTTGTTTTATGAGTTTGTTGTTACCAAAACGTTTCGTCAAACTCATTCTAATTTCTTTATTCAGGTGGGAAATCTGTATAGAAAAAGAGACTGTTTTTTCTTTTCTTTTTCTCGTTAATACAAATCAGTATTTATTTGCCAATCCACAAACACAGGATCTTTTTTATGTGGTTTTACAGTGTGGTATTATAATTGTTATGGTCCGGTTCCTTGTACCACGGTGATAGTCCAAGGTAGAACCAATAAAGAAGAACTCGAACACAGGTTTGGAATAACACAGATATATTACAAACAGGAATATATACAGAGAAGTAGAAGTGTTAGTATGAACAATCAGGTTTAGTAGAAAGAACAATGTAGTCTCGACCAGTATCACTATACCAATGTCTTGCAGTAATTGTCTGAACGCGAATCTGTTTCGGACTGCCTCTGACTCGACTCTTGACTCGACTTGAACTACTGACTCGACTTGAACTAGTGACTGACTTGAACTACTGACTGACTGACGATATTCAGTCACCCCCCCACGAGGGCGTCATGTGGCACAAGGCCGGTTTAACGTGGGATCTCCGAGCCCGTGGGATCTCCGAGCCCGTGGAATCTCCGAGCACATGTGTTCGGCCAAAAATATGCCCATTGAACCCGTATAAACGGGTTCAGGGCCGGTTTACCTCCCCGAAAGAGACTCCGCCCTTCGGCGTAGACTCTTTTGGTTTCCGCCCCGCCCGAAGGCAGACAGCTCAACCGATCAGCCAGTCGACTGACTGACTGACGATATTCAGCCCCCCACCCACTGGGGCATCATGTGACACAAGGTCGGTTAATTAATGTAGGATCTCCGAGCCCGTTGGCTCGGCCCAAAAATATGCCCATTGAACCCGTATAAACGGGCTCAGGGTCGGTTTACCTCCCCGAACGTGACTCCGTCCCTCGGCCTAGCTTCGTTCGGGTTCCTCCCCGCCCGAAGGCAGAGAGTTCAACCGAACAGTCGGTTCAGAAGTGAACGACTGACTCACTGACGATATTCAGTCACCTCCCCCCATTGGGGCAGCATGTGGCACAAGGTTATTTAACGTGGGATCTCCGAGCCCGTGGGTTCGGCCCCAAAATATGCCTTTTGAACCCGTATAAACGGGTTCAGGGTCGGTTTACCTCCCCGAACGAGACCCCGCCCTTCGGCGTAGCCTCGTTCGGGTTCCTCCCCGCCCGAAGGCAGAGAGTTCAACCGATCAGCCGGTCGACCGACTCACTGACTTCTTGCCTACTCCTGAGACGCAGTATTTATTAAGTATGGAATAGTCCATTATTATTATCATGGGTACGATCCCATAACAATAATCCAGCCCATTCTTGTGTGACGCCCAATCCAGCGTGTAACATAAAAAAGCGACCCCTATGTTACGCAGAATAGTAAAACTGTCTATTACCTAGAAAATCGAATGTGTCACACGCGTTGCTCCGAGGTTTGGCTTAATGATTAATTCAGACGATACGTTTGCCAGCATACTCTTCTGATGGCTGTCATTGTCAAGCCTGGTATTGCTCAATCTAACATTTACTGTCGGAAATAGTCTTCATTCCGCCTTCAGACAAAACAATCTAAAAACAGAACAGGTATTCATTCTCAGGAGAGATACGGTTTGAGTCAGAAGAACAATTTAACTTCTACATCTTTGTTGGTACTGCGTGAGTCTTTGGATACGCCATTAATGAATAAGAACCAAATCTGGAAATGCTTAAAATCAGCAAGTTTCGAAGCTAAATCTATATGCTTTAAAATGAAAAGCAGTAAGAAAGTAATTTTCAAGAGCCAAGAGATAGATAGATAGATAGATAGATAGATAGATAGATAGATAGATAGATAATGAGACTATGATAGATAGGTAATGAGACTATGATAGATAGATAGATAATGAGACTAGAGATAAGAACAGATTTAGACTAAGAAAGATAGATACATAATGAAGAGATAGATAGATAGATAGATAATGAAAATATTTATAGGTAGAACAGATAGATAGATAGATAGATAGATAGAAAGATTTGAAAAAGAACATTTTTAGATAAGAAATGATTTAGATATAATGAAGAGATTAGGATAGATAGATAGCTATGAAAATATTTAAAGGTAAGAACAGATTTACATAGATAGATAGATAGATAGATAGATAGATATGAAAAGATTTAGAGATAAGAACAGATTTATATAGATAGATAGATAGATAGATAGCTATGAAAAGATTTAGAGATAAGAACAGATTTACATAGATAGATAGATAGATAGCTATGAAAAGATTTAAAGATAAGAACAGATTTACATAGATAGATAGATAGATAGATAGATAGATAGATAGATATGAAAAGATTTAGAGATAAAAACAGATTTACATAGATAGATAGATAGATAGATAGATAGCTATGAAAAGATTTAGAGATAAGAACAGATTTACATAGATAGATAGATAGATAGCTATGAAAAGATTTAAAGATAAGAACAGATTTACATAGATATATAGATAGATAGCTATGAAAAGATTTAGAGATAAGAACAGATTTACATAGATATAGAGATAGATAGATAGCTATGAAAATATTTAGAGATAAGAACAGATTTACATAGATAGATAGATAGCTATGAAAAGATTTAGAGATAAGAACAGATTTACATAGATAGATAGATAGATAGCTATGAAAAGATTTAGAGATAAGAACAGATTTACATAGATAGATAGATAGCTATGAAAAGATTTAGAGATAAGAACAAATTCACATAGATAGATAGATAGATAGATAGATAGATAGATAGATATGAGAAGATTTAGAGATAAGAACTTATTTAGATAAGAACTGATTTAGATAGATAATGAAGAGATTAGGATAGATAGATAGATAGATAGATAGATAGATAGATAGATACTGTTGTCATCCTGAAAGAGCTAGTGGTAATCAGATGTTTTGTACGTTGAACTCAAGCCATACAGTTCTCCCCACCTCAATATAAACCCACTAGGTTATGTTATTGTGAATGTCTTCTCGGTGTCATTATTTTTTTTATTTATCCATGAATAAACAGCAGAAAGGCCTAAGGCTGGCAAAAACTGAATTCATTGCTGCATCGCGTGGCTAAAATCAGTCTTTAGACACAATGTGATTTAATCAGCAAAATGTCAGTGAGGCTGCGCCAAGTGAAAATGGTCACTACTTGATGATTAAAGTCATATAGTAAGAAAAAAAAAACATATATACACACACACACACACACACACACATATATATATATATATATATATATATATATATATATATATATATATATATATATATATATATATATGTGTGTGTTTGTGTATGAAGAGAGAGAGGATCTTTAAAAATGTGTTATATTTATGGCAGAAGAATGGTCAATATCAGAGATAGTTCACGTACAAATATAAACAGTGGAGACATAGATAAATAATACTGCATGTTGGTGATCAATTTCACAGATGGAGGAAGAAAGTTCGATTCTAGGAATGATGCGTTTTTATATAAACAGCATGAAAACACATTGCATATATATTCTAGTTATCACGTTACGTTGGTTTTTCACTGTCTTTCCCAAGAAGCAACGTGAAATTATAGATAATAAAGAAAAGGAACCAGTGGAGAGTCATGATTGTTTCGGATCGGGAAGAGACATAGCCTTTGTTTTAAAAGAAAGCTAAACATATTTAAAATTTGTAAAAGTATGAATAATTTCCCACGAAATTACATCAACTAAAGAGTTTAAGAGTCACTCCTGTTACATTTTGACTGTAAGCCTCATGTAGTCATTTTGGCAATGAGGTGTTTTAAAACGTGATAAGAAGTGAAGATTATGAAGATAAAGAAAAAAAGATAACGATTAATCATAGATGAGGTCAAAGAAAGCAGCCACACGGGAGACCGTTTCACAAAGTGATAGTTCTGTATGAGGGAAGTTTTTGTTTTTTTTAATTTGTAAATTACGAAGGAAAGGAGGATGTTTCGACTCCTTGGATGTGGTGCAGCGGGTTCTAGCTGTAAAGGCTTTAACTAGTGTAACTAATGAATAGAGGTTCTCTGAACATTTGCCATTGGAAATTGCGAAAGGTTTCAATATGGTTTATGCAGAAAAGAAGCTGCATAGTGAAATAGTGAAAAGTTAAGTCTTTCTACACAAAAAGCGTGTAAACGATATTGAACTTCATCCAGTCAGGAAAGTGAGGAATGAACATCTCCAGCCCAAAGAATAACTTTGAATACTTCCCGGATTGATAGAATGGGACGACCATTTTCCAACCTTTTTAGCAATTGCCCCTATATATGAGTCCCACTTGAGGTCTTGAGTGAAAAATCGAACAACATTGACATTCGAAGCATGGAGCCTCGTTTAAGAAGCATTGAGCCTCGTTGTGAGAAGCGACCTACATCTTGACAGGAGAAAATTCAACACCTGAACAATGATGATAAAATGATACTAACATGGCTTTTGGATGTATTAAAAGTTACAAGGCATTTTTTCTTATGGAACTGTTCGAGAAAGGTCAAATGTGAGATCTGCTCCAAGGCCCGATTATACTGATTTTTAGACGAGCGCCGTTGAACTCTGGACTCATCTGCATATATCTTTTCGAATGTTTTGTGAATGTTTCTAGGGAGACCGTTAATAAAAATGCAGAAAGCGTGTAGGACCGAGGAGAGGGCTTTACTGGACGCTAGCGTTTATCTCACGGGTTTCCGGAGACAGGTCATGCATAACGACTATCGTGAACCTACCCGAGAGAAAGAACTTGATAATTTCAAAGTCTTCCAACGATGTCATAACTGGAGATTTAGTGAGGCAAACCCTACGCCCTATGAAAAGTCTTTGGAATATCTAAAGCGATCGTTTAGGTGACGAGGCAACCAACAAGTGCTTCATTGTTTCTCTGGGCATAGATGAGCGAAATACATACTGCTTGTTACTCACGAGATGAGTATTTCTCGTGAGATGTTTGTACATGTATTTCCCCGTATATATATATATATATATATATATATATATATATATATATATTAATATTTGGTGCAATTTAATTTATATTACAATGAATCATTCATACAAAAAGTAAATTATTAAAATTAATGATATAAAATTGCGAAATCACTTCACTAACTAAATTTTAAATATGCATTACCCCACTAACCACTCGATGAACGTTATAATACTTGATTTTTAAAATTATAAACTATATTAGGTCTTTCTTAAACATGCAAGTACTTTCGACGTGTCCTCCGGTCATCATCAGGAATGAAAACTATTTTCTTTTGGGTAAAATTCGGGTAGCATTCGAGACGAAAAAATATAATGCAAATCAAAATGGTTAGTGGGTTAATGCATCTTTAAAATTAAGTTAGCGAAGTGATTTCACCATTTTATATCATTAACTTAACTAATTTACTTTTGGTTGGAATGATTCATTGTAATATATATATATATATATATATATATATATATATATATATATATATATATAAGTGAACATTGAAGGTAAAACTTAGAGGGGACAGGTATAAATAAATAGCCAAGGGAAAAAAATAACCCTCGTGGCCTGACGATTGTGCCTAGCATGAAACAGCCTGTCGCCTCTAAGTGTCGACTACAATGTTCACTTTTATATTTACACACGCTCTGTCTCTGATGTTGAGCACTTTATCCCATAAATATAGCATATATATATATATATATATATATATATATATATATATATATATATATATATATATATATACGTGTGTGTGTGTGTGTGTGTGGATTTTATAGCGTTCATATTTATCGATTAATACGCAATGCAGACGAAAACAGAAATCTGGACACGACCTTTACTTTGAAATAAGGTTGAAATCTAGTAACAATTATACATTTAGATAGATAGCTAGCTAGATAGATAGATAGCTAGCTAGCTAGCTAGCTAGATAGATAGATAGATAGATAGATAGATAGATAGATAGATAGATTTTTAACAGGCTTAGATGTGAACAGAAGATAGCTAGCAATTAATTTGCTCTGCGATATCCTTGGGGGATTGCAGCGCCCAGACCTGCAGCTCTATGTGCTCATTGAACTTGCGAGAATCTATTCATAGGATAGATTTCGTCTGTTAGATCCTCTAATCTGTTTTTGCTGGTTTCGATGGGGCCTCATATCAATGCTCCTAAAATATACGCCCGCCACTGGTTTTCTCGATATTCTTCTGTAGAATCACATCTCTATTTCCTCCCTTCTTCATCTATGAGGAAATTGTTCAGTGTTCACTACCGTATAGGCTGATTAATATCCCATAGCAGTTCACCTGACTCTTCTTGCTTTTTAACGATATAAATATATAAAAAAAGAAATAGAAATGCATATCTTTCGTGTTGTTCTGGTTAGCTTGCAGTAAATGATTCTTTTGAATAAAGATGTTGGAAAAAAAAACGACGACGAAGCGTTAAAGATAAGGAGATTAGATATGGATTAAAAATATGCAGAAAGAAAAAAAGAGCAAGGAAAAAGAAAGAAAGAAAGAAAGAAAGAAAGAAAAGTAAGACATGAAAAAAATGAAAATAATTATAGCAAATAAAATCAAAATGAAAAAACGATGGAAAAGAAGCGATGGAAAAGAAAGAAAGAAAGAAAAGAAAGAAAGAAAGAAAAAGAAAAGAAAAGAAAAAAAAGTAAGACATGAAAAAAATGAAAATAATTATAGCAAATAAAATCAAAATGAGATGGATGAAAAAAGAAAAAAGAAAAGAAAAGAAATAAAGAAAGAAAAGGAAAGAAAGAAAGAAAGAAAGCAAAGGAAAACGAAAAGAGAAAAAAGAAAATGTAAAAGAAAAGGATTAACTATCAGAAAGGAAATTAAAAGGATAAAATAAAAAAATGTGAGGAAAGCAAAGAAAAAACATAAGGAGAGAGTAGAAAAGAGAGTAGAAAGTAAATGTTTATAAGAAAGCAAAGAAGTGTATAAAGAACAGCCGATTATCAAGACGCCGCCACTGAAAGAAGAAGAAGAGGAAGAAGAAGAAGAAAGAAGAAGAAGAAATTAATAAAGTACTTAAGAAAGAAAAAACGAAAGAGTAGCTAAAGACTAACGTAAAAATCAACAGTAAATAAATAGGAAAGCATAAGAAAAAGAGCAAAGCTAAATACGGTGTTGATAAAAGGAGAGTTTAAGTAAGAGTGTTTAAATAATAATCCCCCCCGCTAACATAGAATTTTTGGTATGGAACAAAAAAAGTGTCTATAATATAAATATATATAAATATAGAAGGTGAGGGGAACAGAAATTGGATTGCTTAAATCATTTTACTGTCGTAAGACAACGCAATACTGAACACACTTTAGCATACAAATATCTGGAGGACGATTCCCCGTATATATATATATATATATATATATATATATAGAGAGAGAGAGAGAGAGAGAGAGAGAGAGAGAGAGAGAGAGATGGTGATAGACAGAAATATAACACCAACAATAAGTTGGAATGTATTGAAAAAAGCTCCTGCCTACAGCAGCATTACAAAAAAATGCCTACTTTGCCTATACGAAAAAATAGCAATAATATCACACACACCGCAAAAGAATTTACTAAACAAAAAATCAGAGATAATCTCCAAATGTAGGCATGAGAACAAGTAACTATTATCCGAATTTATACCAAACGGATAAAAAAAAAAGAAAAAAAAGGACAAACCACCAACAATCACAATTTAATTCAAGCTACCATCACAATAATTACATTTATCGTTATTATCATTGAACCATCATTAGTAATCACTTATACCACTTTACAATAACTATTAACTACTAATATTATCCTTACCACCAACACTCAACACCATTACTACCACATCACATCTACTATTAACATATAAACCCACTATGATTAGTAATGTAAATTACTCACCCCAGCATATTTAATACCACCAAATAAAAACCAATAAGATCAGAAATAATTTCCAGCTGTAGGCATGAGAATAAATACCTATTACCAGGATTTATACCAAAATAAATAAATAAATATATATAGAAAATAAAATAAAACACCAACAATCACTTTTTAGTTCAAGCTATCACCACAATAATTACATTTATTGTTTTTATCATTCTCCCACCACCATTACTAATCACTTCTACCAATTTATAATAACTATTAGTTACTTATATTATCATTGTCTCCAATCCCCTTACAACATTACTATCACGTCACATCTACTATTATCATATAGACCCGCTATAATTATTAACGTAAACTACCCCCTCCCCCAGCATATTAAATACCACCATAAAAAATAACCAATAAGGATTACAAACCGAGATTTCTACCAGTTATATATGCACAGTCATCAAAAACAAGCAAATAACCAGCTTTAAAATAATAACAAATAAACCCCTTTTTTTCTTTTCTTTTTTTAAATTAAAAATAAAAATAATAGTAATT